TCCAGCGAGTTGGGTTTTTTTATCTGTGACCAACATACATATATATATATATATATATATATATATATATATATATTTATGTACAACATAGAACGTACGTGTAAGAACAGTAAACGAAAGTGCAAAACCACGTTGATACGAGATGATCTTCCGTGTGCAAGAAGCACGTCCAGCGAGTTGGGTTTTTTTATCTGTGACCAACTTACCATTTTCAACGATCAATGCGCAGCATTCGTTTGATTTTTTTTTTATTTTTTTTTTTTTCCTTCAAATGATAAAACATATTTTAACTCGATAAATGAGTGGAAAATATGAAATAGAAAAAAAAAAAAGGTTTTATGTTTTTTACACTTCCTTTCAGAGTTTCAAGTTACTTCTAAACACACGATTCTTTTTTTTTTTTTTTTTACACTTATCGAATACCCCATTTTTTTTCTTTTTTTTTTAATTGGTCAGTTAATCAATCATTTTACTAACCGTGTCATTTTTATTGTATTAATTTATTTATATAAGTGATGATGTGATTATGTGATTATGAACATATTAGCTTGATTTTTTTTGCTTGGATGTGTCAATCAAATATTTGTGTCATTTTTTAATATTATTTCTACTTAAAATTATTAAATTATTGTTATTGTTTTTTTTTTTTTTTTTTTTTAACAACTATACAACTGATTATTTATATGTTATATGAATTAGTGATGTATATATAGTGTATTAAAAAATTTTCTAATCGTTTAGTGAAACTTCGTTGAATGTAGAAAATTATTATAATCAGGTTAGAAAGTGTTCATTATCAGTTAAGCAAGAAGAAAAGATCATCTCTCTTATTAATTTCTAAATAAATAAGAATTATTTATTATTAATACAAATTTACAATAATTTATCTTTTATTATTTATAATAAATAATATACCTATATCTCGCTTAAATTTAAAAACAAAAAATAAAAGCGGAAACAAATATTGTGTGTATAAAATAAAAAATTTCATTTTTTTGAATGATTGAAATTTTTTTCAGTGGAACTTAATTATAATTAAATGAATTAATTTATGAGACAGTTGATAAACATTCATACCTTCACTTTTATGGGTGGAGTAATTATACTTAGAGAACAATAAGATAATATTAAAATGTCCATGAGTAATAAAAGTAAACTATGAAAAACCATACTAACCATGAGTATGTATTGCTTTTTAAAAATTATGAAATTACAATTACAAATTCATCAGATATATTATCATTGAAAAACAATCAATGACTATATATATAATAATAATATTCAAAAATAATATTCATAGAATATTCAAAAATAATATTGATATAATATTTTTTATATTATTTTTATAATACTTACAATATATATTATATTATATTTATAATATTTATATTTATATTATATTTATAAGATTTATATTATTTTATATTATATTATAATGAATTTTGTAAAACAATTTATAATGAAATTAATTTATAAAATATTTATCAATCCGTTATTTCTTAAATTGTTCTAACATGTTTTTTTGTTTTTTGTTTACACAGCATTATCTAGAAAAATATTACAATCTAATTTCAATATTGTCATAACAAAATGAAATACTCCATATTGAATACGCTTATTTTCTTTGGCTGAATTGAATTATTTTTTTTTTTTTTCTTTTTTTTTGTCGACTCAGTACTCTTAATTATAATTCATCAAAGGTGATCAAGAAAATATACTTCCTCAATCATCATCATCGTTCGTATCACTATTCTCCGTTGTTTCGAATAAATTACGTTGTTGATTCGTTTCACGTATCTTGAATACCATAAATACGTACGATCCTTTTAAGTTTTAACATATGTATTTATACGTCGCGTATAAAGTCGGCTGATTTGGTTTACGGGTGGTAAAAATTATCGAATGTTATCGTTTAATGTCACATTTAGATGACTAAGAACGTTTCTGTATGAACGAGTTGACAATCCTTTTTTTTTTCTTCTTTTTTTCATATCTTTGAAACAATAATCATTTGATATAACAAAAAAAATTTTAATACAAGATGATACATTTTTACAATGAAAAAACATTTACTTTTCTTCCCCCTAGCCTTACCTTAATTCCGTCAAAAAAATATTAGTAAAGTGTGTGGTAGAAAATAAACAAGTATTATCGATTCACCGAGTATAATGAATACAAAATTAGAAAAAAAAAAAAAAACAAAACAAAACAAAAAATATTGCAATTTAGAATAATATTCATCGACATAAATTGTTCATTTTTAATTTTATACGTTCATTGAATTATTATATTATTATTATTATTATTATTATTATTATTATTATTATTATTATTATTATTATTCAGTAGTATGTATTTGTCATCGTAGAATACTAATTGTACAAAAGAAGACATTTAACATTCAAAATGTTATTTTTACATCATGATATTAAATACATCGTGAATTAATTCTTAATACGATCAATTGATCATACGAAAATACATAAGTGAGATTGAAGTGAATGAGGAGAGGGTTGGAAGAGAAAGGGGTTGTAAAAGGAAAATTAGAAAACAAAAAAAAAAAGTACTACATCGTAAAAAGAAAAGTGAATCGTCTGTTTTTATAACTTCGTAATACGAAACTTCATGTTTCTCTGATTGGTCTTTGCCTACTTCCGTATTTGTTGCATTATTGTTGTATAATTCATGACAATCTTATGTCAATGTTCCGTAGAAAGTGATAAAAATATTTATAGACAAACAAATCGTCAACTATACATATATATATATATTTATTTATTATTTATATTTTATTTTTATAAAATTATTATATCTATATTATGTTATGTTATTAATTATTATTTTATATATATTTATTATATTTTTATTTATATTTATTTATTATTTATTTATTTAATATATTTAATAAATATTAATAAAATTTATAATTATATAATATAATTATAAATTTAATATAATAAATATATATATATATACACACCATGAATATATTGTAACGAAATATTTTTCGCGATTTGATCTCTTGTTATATGTACAGGTTATGTTCAAAGTTTCTAATACGATAAAATAAAAAATATAAAATACGATGAATTTGAAAAAGAAAATAATCAAAAAAATTAAATGATAATTAAAAAAAAAAAAAAAATAAAAAGAAACAAACTGAAAATAACTTCAAAATAATTTCTAATCTGAAATTATTCGATAGAAAAATTTTGATAGAGCATTGTGAAACAAAAATGGAGTTACGAATGATTGAGGAAATGCGTAAATTTATATTAAAAGTAATAAAATANAAAAAAAAAAAAGTAACAAAATGAAATTAATTTCATAATAATTCGTAATATATAATATTTCGATAGAAAAATTTTGATAGAGCATTGTGAAACAAAAATGGAGTTACGAATGATTGAGGAAATGCGTAAATTTATATTAAAAGTAATAAAATAATTTTCAATCTTTATGAAATAAGTACAAAATACTTATGTTACGTAATTTGTGTGACTGGCCTTTCTGATTGACATTGATGTCGTAAGTATGCAATATGTGCACGGTGAAAGCTATAAACATAAGCAAAGATTATACGACTAGTACATAGTTCACTTAACATAGTGTGACACATGTTTTTAACATGAATTTTTTCTTTTTTTTTTTTTTTTCTAATTTACTATTTAATTCCAGTAATAAGTATACTTTGTTTTTATTTTTACATAATTATATAGGTATATAAAAAAATCCTATGAAATAGAATATATTATATAGATCAGTGGTTATCAACTTTGTCATTTTTCTATGTTTTCATGTTAAATATTACATGAAAATTGTTTAAATAAATATAAGTTTAGTTTATTTTTCATCAAAAATTAATTGATTCAATTATGTTATATATTTCTTTGATAAATTAAAAAAAAAAAAAAAAATCACAATCACATATCTTCAATTATATTTTTACCTGTAAAATTAATTAAATTGAATTTGACCACCAAGAAATTGGAAAAAAAAAATAAAATCCTTACAATAATGTCTCGTTAATGTCGCACAAATTACGATATTTCGAATTATAATAGTAACATAATGATCGTTATTACGAATTACTATTATTTATTATTGCGTCACTTTGCAAATTGTTGTAGTCGTATGCTTATAAGAAATGATATGAGTTATATAAGTTTATTATTCTTTAAAAAAAAAAAACAAACAAATGTATTAAAATTAAATCGTTTGTTTGATTGTACATTTGAATTTTATTCGTATAAACGTAAATATACGTTTAATCATTACAAAAATAATATTATTATTATTTAATTCAATATTTATATCACATTTAATGCTATTTGTATTTGTCCGATTTGAATTTTGTTCGATAATTCGGTCAGATTTGGAATGTATATTCTACGTTTAAAAAACTATGCAGTTAGCGCCATTTTGAATATACACATATACCCTGACTTTCATGTATATCATCATTTTTTTTAAAGTAATCACGTATGTGGGATATCGTTAAGCAATATGTTAACCATTTGTTTGACCGTATCACTATTGGTAACCATAATCAAATCATCCTCAGACACATCACCCATCTTGATTGAATTAATTTGTCGATCAAAATTCGAACCTAATTGTTTCTTACATCTAGCCGAAGCGTGAAATTCTACTGCACCAGTTTGCAATTTGATTTTCATCAAATTATTCGGAGTAATACCGCAACCAGGCATTATAGAAATTTTCTTATCAGCTAATTTACACATTTTAGACAAAAGTTCGCATCCTTTGTCAGCCGTTTCTTTTCGTCCTGATGATAATATCCTTTTAAAACCTAAATTTGTTAAAATATCAATGGCTATCTTAGGTTCTTCCAGTGATACATCGAAAGCACGATGAAAGGTTACCGGAAGCGGATATGCAGCATCTATGATTTCTTTGCAATTTGATATATTGATATGTCGATCATTCGTTAATGCACCAAAAACAAAACCGTCGACATTCAATTCTTTCAAAATTTTTAAATCATCCAACATAATATCCATTTCTTCACGACTATAAACAAAATTTCCACCTCTAACACGTATCATCGCGTAAATTGGTACAGGTGATATTTCACGGATACGTTTTATCAAACCTGGTGTTGGCGTTAAACCACCTTCCGATAACGCCGAACAAATTTCCAATCTGGTGGCGCCACCAATCACGGCATTTTTCGCTGATTCGATTGTATCCACGCAAATTTCTAACATTATTTCCATCATCTGTAATATAAAATCATAAAAATATTCCTTACTTTTGAAATAAAATGTTTTTTTTTCTTTTGAAACTATAATATAATAATTAAAAATAAACCAAATTAGTTTTGAAAGGTTAGGAAAAAAATCCGTTATTATTTAAAAAATAATCTAAGTCTTTGAAAGATGGCGAAAGTGGGTCACAAATTTTAACTTTTGAAATATAAATAAAATAATCAAAAGTACCTGTCAACATTTCTGTATAACATTTTCAAAATATATCATAGATTTGTACAAAAATGTACTTTTGTTAAATCAATCATTAGAATGACCCCTTAAACAAAAACTGTCGGTGATAGGAGTGGGGTTAATATCCACGTGAAATTAGCTACGACAATTAACAGTAAATTAATGAAATAAACCACACGATGATTTTTAAAGTTTGAAGAATCATCGATACAGGTCTCTCGAATCTAGACTTTCATTTGTTGTTTGAAACAAAGCGCGTTCCGCGGTTACACCACTAGCATTTCATTGGTAACTGAACAACTGGTTTGAAAAGTATGCCATACCGGCAGTCCCGGACTAAGATTATTTGGTACCCCGTGTATATGACCTATTTATCTATTTTTCTATTATATCTCATTTCAATTATATTGAATTATATTTTTTTTGTCTTGTACTTTATACAATTTCAATATACTTAACATTTTTCTTATGGTAAAGTTTAGAACATAATTATAGCATTAATTTAATTTAATTAATAAAATAATTTTATTGTTAGTCACGATTCGTAGAAACAAATGGTCATTGTGGTATTTTCTGAATATGGTAAATGTTCAAGGTTTAATAAGTAAATTGCAACACATTTTTAAGTAAGATAATTAAACATATATATATATGTACATGTAATTAAGTTGACATCTAGGTGTGACTGTAATACAGGGTGATACAGTCAATATATTCACTTTATGGTAATATTTTTTGCAACACCCTGTATTAATCATAATCAAATCCTTCTACAGCCCAGAGACACTTTAATTATATGTACATTACATATATTAATATATATTATATACAGGGTGTGGCAACAAATGTCACCTACTTTTGATAATTAAATATATACATTTATTTTTACACTTGTTTTTTCATCTTTATCCACTTATCTTTAATTTTCACTTACCACAGTGTATTTTACGATACTTCAACTTTGATCTAAATGTAAAATATCACGTATAATTTATCCAAAGATAAATATTATATTAATAAATGAAACAAATTTAAAATTCTCGACTGATTATACACGTACACTTTTGAAATAATTCAATTGAAAGAAATTTGTTATATTTTTTTTTTTCTTATCAATTTATTTATATGCACAATTTTTCATTAACTACATATAATAATCGTAAGACACACTTTGTGAGACCTCTTGGCAACAATAGCGTTATCTGTATGAAATTAGGTTAACTACATTTAAAAAATACGAAGATCAACGTTCTCTGAGAAAATCTAAGAGTAATATAATTATTACAATAAATTCAATTGAATTAACTCAAAAAGTTTTATTTAAATAATTGATATGATTTGGTTAACATGCAATAGAAACAATTTTTAATTGAAATTCTGATAAATCTTTTTTACCTTCTTCCTTGCAGCCATATTAGGTGTTTAATAATGCCACCTGCAGTGAGTTTTTTTAACTACAAAGTAAAGATGTCGAGAAGAATCCGCCGATATCACATGGGTAATTATTATTAATTTATTTTTGTTATTGATTACAACAAATAAAACGAAGACCACCACACTAATCTACCGGGTGTTGTTTTTTTTTTTTAAAAGAATATTAATTCTTTTTTTATGGAGTTCTAAGTTAATAAATATTAACATTATAAATATCAAGATTTACAACAAAGATGGAGGACTTTTTGAAACGAAAAAATTAAAACACATTGTAGATATTGTATTATACAACGTACATTAGTAAAATAATATCAAGAATGATATAGAAGTAAAAAATAAAATTAATTTTTCACAAGAAAATTTGTTCAAGACAGAAATATGGCCAAATATTTAAATTAAAAAATTCAAATACATATATATACATATACAATGTAATTTATTTTAACTATATATATATATATATACATGTATATAGTTGGAATAAATTATCGTTTGCAAAAATATTGGATTTTCTTATATATATATATATTTTTTTTTCCTTAAGAATTTCTTTTTCAAATCTTTCTAAAGAGTGTGTGTGTCTAACATTAACCTATAAATTAAATAATTTTGAAATATAATGTGAACGAAAAAAAATACGACCATATATATAAAATCAAAATTTCAACGCACAAATATCATTCTAGATATAATAAGAATTGTACGTATTTTTTGTTCAAGGACATATAAAATTCACAATTCAATAATAATTTCTTCTTCTTTCTTTTTTTTTCTTCTTCTTTAAAAAATACATCATTTTTCAGGAACATCGATCGCTCGATGTAATACACGATGATAAAAACATATAAGATGATAATTTATGTATAATAATAATAATAATAATAATAATAATAATAATAATTAAAAAATAATAATAATAATTATATTAATTTAAGTAATAATAATAATAATAATAAACATAAAAATAATAATAATAATAATAATCATCTACATAATAGTCTAAATAATAATAATAATATTAATAATAATAATAATAATAATAAAAAATATGCGCACGAATTTGTAGCGAAGAGAATAATAAATATGTTATTGGCTCGCTTATATTTATAATAATTAAGCGTTACCAAAAAGAAGGTTTATTTGCAATAAAAAGTCACGTTAGATTTATCGTTATTCCTAATAAAAATAGTTATAAACAAACCATGTATTATATTGGACGATAGAATACATTCGTGTCCCTTCCCCCTCATATTAGAGTTACCATGTTACAAGTATTTACGGAAAGTTTGAAAAACATTAAAAGAGTTACCATAATCAATCAATCAATCAATCAATTAATCAAAAAATGGATCGATTTTCAAATGTTTAATGACCGGCATTTAATATTATTCATTTTCTTTATTTGACTTTACTAAAGTTATAAATATAAATACTGTTTTATTAATCAAATTGCATCTATCATTTTATTTTTGTTCAATTGTATAAAATGTAACTGTCTTGTGTTATGAAGGATCTAGTTATTTGACGATTTAACATTTAAAATGACACCATTGATCATTCGTTAATCTTTCTCAAGAATAGAAAAGAAAAAGAAAAAGAAAAACAAAGTAGGATTTACAAAATATTCGAATATATATATATATGTGTTTAATCGCGATACGCGAGGATTATTGGATGAGAAGAAGGAGAGGGGGATCCAATTAGGTGGAGGGAGAATCAATGACCAATCAGAGATCACCGTTGGATACTGCGATTGGTGGTGATACGTTAGCTTGATTCGAACTGCTCGTCGCCCATTTGTTCTTGTGTGGATCTACGCCAAAACCTTCATCGTAATTGCCTCGCGTTATGAAAAGTTGTTTGAAGTGTGGGATGCAGTATAGTTTACCATTGTTTAACGTAAACGTGTCCATCCTGTATAAAGAAATAATTTAAATAAATTAATAAGTTAAGTATACATATATAAATATATTATAATAAAATAATGTTAACAATAATAAATATATATATTTATTATTAAAATTTAAATATTAATTTGGAAGCTAGTTATTAAATAAATAAATATTTATATAACATTACGTAATATATTTTTAAAATAAACATTATATATATAGATATGTGTTTGTAAGGATTTAAAATGTATTTATGTTAGTATATATGTATATAATAATTATTAAAATAAATACCTTAAAACGCAATTGCATTGAAGACACCGGAAGCACTGTTTGTGAAAAATTTTGTTATTTGTTTCAACCTTCTCAAGTGGATATACCTTCTTCTCGCAACTTTCACATACATCTGTGCAACTTGCTTGAATTTCCTATCATTGTTGTTGTTGTGTTGTTGTCGTCATCGTCGTCGTCGTCGTCGTCATCATCATCATTGTTTTTGGTAATATTTGTTTTTGTTTTATGGGATGGGTTTCGTATTATCGTAGAGAAAAATAAATATAAAGGAAAAAAAGAAACATAAAGGATTAAAAAAAAAGATACGAAATATGTTCAACGAACTATAACCTAACTTTTTAGAAAAGGATGAAGAAAAAAAAAATAAAATAAAATAAAAGAAAACAACAACAAAAAATTGTTTCATCGTTCGATGAGTCTCGAGACGTTGTATTTTCCACAAAAAAAAAAATGTTTAAAGTTTTATATTATTATTAATAATATTATTATTATTAAGGAAATACGTTATCATGTTTACAAGTAGACATCTTTTATTTGAATGGGGGAAAAAAAAAAAAAATAAATAAAAGAATTTTCAGAGTTTTGACGGATTGGCCCTAAAAAAATTAAATTTAAGATTTTTGTTCTTTTTTTTCTTTTTTAATTTTTATATATATATATATATATAGGATATCTCTTTTTATTTATCAATAGTGATATTATTAGTATAATAATAAATGTTATTACATGTGAAAAACGAACAAAGATATTACACGTCGTTGTTCAAAAATTATATTACGAATTGTTTTACGATATACAACGATTACACAACAGAGGAAAAAAAAAAGAGAGAAAAAATTACACGCATTTATAATAAATCCTTCCATCATCATATGTAAAAATTATCACTATCGATTATCAAATAAAAAAAAAAAAAAAAAATTCTTAACACGTTAAAAGCGCCACGTCAGCCATCGGTGACTGACACGAAACTTTCCGTTTAGGCCGCGTCCGTCACATGTGACTGACACGTTCATCTACTTTTCAATACAAAGTAAAGCCTGTGGCCTGACGGGAATTTCCCTAAGAATTTTCGTGGCGCTGTTCAACGTCTTAATATAAATAAATAATAATCGTCGTTCAAACGCAATTCAATTCTCTACCAATCGATATCAACAAAATTTCTTTCTCTCTCACACACACACACACACACATACACACACTCTTTCTCTCTCTCTCTCTCTCTTTTCTTATTGGTTTATATTATATTTCGTAAATACGATCGTGTTATATCTTCGTTCATATATTAAACTCTTTTCCTACGTACATAGACACCTGTTAAATAACGCACTTATATAAATATGTACGTTATAATTATGTGTGTGTGTGTATTATTTTATACATATACAGGGCGAATGAAAAAAAAGAAATATTCTAGATGTTTTTTTTTTTCAAAAGTTTCTTTTCTTTTTTTTT